GCAGAAGCGGAAGGAGCTCTACGACGCGTCTACGACCGAGAAGGAGAAGGGCGAGAAAGACCCCAATAAGCTAAAAGGCCTGACGCATTCCTTCACAGCCGCGTATGAGTCCTCGAAAAAGGAGTCGACAAATAGCAGACAGAAATGGGTCACAGTCACGCAGCTGATGCAGGAGTTCGGGGTCAACCCGGGGAACTTCCCCACCGCGTCGGCGGGATGCGATTGGGCTCGCAACAAGTGGCGCAAGAACGCTGAGAAGCACCAGGCGGCAGAATCTCACCCGCCCCAGATGGACACAGAAGAAATCATCGATTCATTATTTTTACGTATTCGACGATGGCCTGCAGACCGCAGCCGAGGAGAGGACGGGAGAGCAGTGGGCCCCATACAAAGACTATGGGAAGACAAGCAAGGGCGCGCTGGAGGACATGGCCCGGGGATCCGCGCCTGCGGGGCAGGGGAGCGGCGACGCGAAGATCGAGAACCAAGAGTGCCGCGACATGGCCGAAAAGAGAGAAGAGCTCAGGATGGGAATTCAAATTCTTCCTGCAACTTCCACACATTGCCCCAGCCTCCTCCGCCCCCCCCCCCCCTCCCACGCCCCCCCTCTTTCCTTCCTACCCCCCCCGCGCCGCCGCAGGCAGAAGGCGACCGCCCTGCAGAGGCAGCAGAAGGACATGAAGGAGTTGATGCTAAGTTTCGATGCCAAGGCGAAGAGAGACGACGACGTCAAGTGGCGCACCAACGGCGACGAGATCAGGCCCGCGCACAAAGCGCTGAGCGACTTCCTCGACGCTGCAGAGCACCTGCTGGCCGAGGCGGCACGCATCCCCGAGGGCGAACCCGGCGACGAGATGATGAAGAAGACGAGGCATGCGCTGTCAGACCAGGGCATGCTCGCGGAGAAGCACTTGGAGGGCGGCAAGATCAGCGCGAAGCGTTGGAAGGGCGTGAAGTGATCGGCCCGCGGGGGAGGGGGATGGAGGGATGGGGGAGGGGAGGGGAGAAAGAGGAGGGAGCGAAGGAGGGGAGAATGGGGGGAGGGCCGAGGGAGTCCGGGAGCGGGAGGAGGGAGGGGAAGAAACGAACGAGCAGCCGGGCAGCGCCCCCGCCAGCAAAAAACAAAAAAAAAAAAAAAAAAAAAAACTGCCTACGACTGCGGCTGGCCGACAGAAAAGAAGCGCGGCGAAGCGAGGAGGCAAGGCGCCTCGCGCGCGCGCCGCTTCGCGCGACAGCGCTGTGTCTGGCGGGAGACGTCGCAGCTCATGGGAACACGCGGAGGCGAGTTCTCCTGCGCGCTGACGAGTGGGGGGGGGGGGCCAGGAGGCGCTGCCCCCTGCGAAGCGCACGTTCGAAATTCGAGGTTCGGAATTCGAACTTGGAACTTCGAACTTCGAATTGAAGTTGGATTCCCCCCACCCCCTCCTGCTTCGGACGCCGCCTTCGCCCGAAGCTGTTTCAGACGACGGGCGCCTGGCGGGCCGCGGGGCGGCCGCGCCGCCATGTTCTCGAAGCGCCAGCCGGCGGTGGACACCAGCGCCCCGCCGCCTGCAAAGCGCTTTCGCGCCACCTTGCAGACGCACATGATGAGGAATACTCTGTCCTCGGGCGACATACAAAGGCCCGCCGCCGACGCCAAGGAAGGGGGGGGGCCGCGGGCGTCGGGGGCCTGAGAGTGGGGCGCGCCAACACGTGCAGGACCTCAAGGAGGAAGTTTCTCAAGGGAACGTTGTGGGCGAAGGAGTACGTGGCAAAGGTTCGCGTGTGGAACACCAAGCGTCATCGAGAAGAGACAAAAGAAGTGCCCCTTTTGCTAACGCACGAGGTCCTCCTGGCGCTGGGTGGGCACGGCGACCTGGACGCGCCGCTGCAGAAGCAGGGGCTGGATGAAGGCAACCGCGCGCACATGCAGGGCGTGGAAGCGAAGCTGGGCAGCCCCGCGGTGGCCATCGGCCTGCGGCAGGACGGGGCCCCCACCAAGTGGGACAGATCTGCGTCGGTCGAAGTCCTCAGCATGAACTTGCCTGGCCTTGACCCCCACGGACCCTACGGCAACATGAGAATCCCATTGTTCAGCATTTTGAAGAGCCGCTTGTCCACGAACACCCGGCACGACATCTTCGGCATCATACAATGGAGTTTTTTGTCTTCGTGGAGAGGCTTCTGCCCGCGAGAGCGGCACGACAAGACGCCGTTCTCGCACCCATCGGATAAAGCTCAACAAGCGTGGGCCGACCGCAGGGCCCTCGAGGGCGCCCCCTTGCCAGCCCGCGGCGCCCTGGTGCAGTTTCGCGCGGGTTGGAAAGCGCGGAAAGAACTTGTTTCTTTCCCCGCCTGGAACGAGGGCTCCGGGCGCCGCTGGAAGTGCAATATTCTCCCGGGGGAGGCGACTGGCCCCGCGAAAACACGGAGGGGGGAGGAGGAGGAGGAGGAAGAAGAGGAGGAGGGGGAGGAGGAGGAGGAGGAGGAGGAGGAGGAGGAGGAGGAGGAGGAGGAGCAGGAGGAGGATTTCTTGGTTACACCTTGCTTTGTTTCTGAGTTCCCTGATTTTTCCTCCCCGCTCTCCTTTGCGCGCCCACCTAGGTGACGACGCAGACGTCGACGAGTTCTCGGTGGGCGAGGCCAACGAGCAGGCGCTCGCTGCAGGACGTGATCGCCACCATCCTGCGCAACGCAGGCCGCGTCTCGCCTGCGCCGAGTATCCCTAGCATCACGATCGACGCGTTCAAGGTCGACTGGTTGCGCGCCGTGGACCAAGGGGTCGGGGCGGACTTCGTGGGGGCCTTGCTCTGGCACATCATGAAGAGGCCCCCAGGGCGCCGCCGCGCGCAGAAGAGCGACGAGATGTGGAGGCCCATCCAGGCGCACTACGACGCGCACTCGACGCCCGGCCGCCTCCACGACTTCAACGAGCGCACGGTGAAGCCCCAGAAAGCACACCCGAAGTTCCGCGGCCAGGCGGCCATCCTGAGGCATCTGACCCCATTCTGCAAGGAAGCGGCCGAGACGCATTGCGTTTCTGGGAGTGCCGTGGACGACGCCGCGCTGAACGCCATGCGCCACTTGCACTCCTGCTACCACACGTTGAGCGGCCAGTGCATCTTCAGAAAGGATCTGATGCGCGACTCCGCCAGCAGGTTCGCAACCTTGTTTGCCTCTCTTGCTGCGCTGCAGCCGAGGAATTGACGCGTCAAGCCGAAGGCGCACCTGCTCCTCGAGATGGCCTTCGCGGGAGGGCAGCCGTCGCTGTGCCGGACCTACAGGGGCGAGGACTTCGGGGGCAGCGTGGGCCACGTGGCGAAGAAGCGCGGCTCCCCGCTCTCAGCGACGGGTTTCTCCCGAGCGGTGATCGCGCGCCACCGCACGCAGCCGATGGCGCGGCTCGCGCGACAGCCGCGCGCGCGGACAGAAAAAGTGCGCGCGCCACAGCGCTGCGGAGGAGCGGCGCCTCCTGCTCCACCAGGGCGCACGCGCCCTCTTCAGGAGGTCACACCTCCTTTATCGAATGTTACACCGTGTTGGAGCATGCGTCGACGCTGACCGTCGCTAAACTTTAGCGCCGACGCTAAATTTTAAGGATGATAACTTTAAGGCCGACTACAAAATAAGAAGCTGCACTAAGTAAGCATAGATGGATCTACATGGTAGCGACGTCCCGGACAGCGGCCAGGCTGCCTGCTTTGAGGTGTGCGGTTTGGTAACACCGCAATTCTTCGAGAGATACCGGGCGCTTTGCGCGTGACCGTGAATGGTCGGCCCGCTTCTTCAGACCTCTCCAGAAATGGGCCGACCGGTCCGTCCATGCACTGTCAAATTGCGATATCAAGTTGCGCTGCAAGTTGCGCTGCTGGTACCAACAGCGCACTGCAGCGCGCAGATTCGTGACGGATGACCAGGACTGGCCGTCCATCTGGGCAAACAACAACATGAATTGAACGTCTGAGTCGCACGGCAAAAGTTGCAGCCCTGAGGAATTCTCGAAAGAATCTACGGCAGTACGCAGGGAGCTGCTATACCGTTTCTTTGTGCTCTCCTCCAAGGCTGTTTGGAGGCAGCAGCGAATTGCTGATGTGGCCCTGCTGCGATATGCTCCCTGTTCCACAGAGGTGCTCTCGCGAATTAAAGACAAGAGGTCGGGGCCCTCACTCAGAGGCTGGCGCGCGCCTGGTGCGTCCACCGGCGGGGCTCGAGGTGGTTCGTGTTGCAGCGCGGGGGCCCCAACAGGCCCGCTTGACGTGCTAGGGCGCCAGTGTGCGTCGCCGGGGCGGGTCTCCCCCAGAGGCACCGCGGATGCCTGCGAAGGTGCAGCGCGAAGCCCGTCGGAAGACGCTCTGTCGGCCGCCGGCCCGGGGCGATCGAAATCGTTGCGGTGCAAACAGGCGGGGCCGAGGCGCTGGCGGCGCGCGGGCTCCCGCGATCCTGGGCCGCGCTTCATCTCGAGCCCCAAATGCTTTGGGTCGCGGCGGCCATTCCCTGTCGACCAACAGGCTGGGGGGGGGGCGGCGACGAAGTTGTTCTACCCCCCGCCAGGGGGCAAAAAGTGGACCAATCGTACGTTTTTTGCACGTTTTCTTGGCGGTCGGGGGCCGCCTGGGCCCTGCCGTGCGTGGCCCCCGGGGATAGCTTATTGTGGCCACGGCAACACTCATGGGCAATGGTGCGCGGATCCGGTAAACCACGCGCAACGAGGAAGTGTTTTTCTTCCCTGCCAGAACGGCAAAAAAGTGAAGCAATCGTACGTCTTTTACACAGAACTGTGTTGAATGAGGCCGCCAAGGCCGCGGCCACGGTCCCTGGTGATTTCTCTGCCCCCCAGCAGTAACTAATGTGTGTGGCGCGTGTACCCGCTGACCGCCGACCCGCGCCCGCCGACGATCCCTGGGCGGGATTGCGTATGAAAGGGGAGGGGCGGAGCGGCAGGGGCAAAAGCGAAGGGCAGGCGAGGGACAGAGAAAGCAGGGCGAGGGGGGGAGCACACGGTGATGCGACGACTGGCGCTCTTTTTTTTCAAGGCGTGCACCGGGCGCGGCCTCGGACTGGGTCGCGGGGGCCGGCCTGGGGCACGCGCCTGCTTGAGACGCAGGCACGCGGCGGAAGAAAAGAAAGGACATGCGCCGGGAACGGCCTGGCAGGGACTTTGCCGGCAGGCGCAATTAAAACATCCCGCGAACCCGCAGAAGCCCCTTTCCCGAGTGCACAGCCCCCTAAGAAAGGACGCCAGGGAGGAGGAGGAGGAGGAGGAGGAGGAGGAGGAGGAGGAGGAGGCTTTAGGACCAGCCCTACTCACCGCCGAGGAGAAAAAAGGGAGGGGGGCCTGAACCAAAGACCTCTGGCGGAGATCCCCTCCCCGCTGCGGCCCCCGACCTCCCACCCCCCCGCCCTGGCCTGCCGAGGCCGAGGCGCCCAGGGCGCCTGGCCTGCCCGAGGCCGAGGCTTCGGTCGGGCGTGTCCTCCTGTAGGGGGGCGTGTGGGCGAAGAAAAAAACAACACTCGAGAAGTGTTCAAACAGTGCTCAAAGATCCCCACAACATCGTCCCCCGACTGTCTCTTTTGCTATTCTCGAATGCAGTCGGGGCGTTGACCTGAGGAACCCGACATAAGGAACGGGGCCCCTTTTTCCCATGAGACAAGCGCTGATTTCCCAGCGAAGACCTAGGAAAACCGCAGGCAAGCTGTAGAGCAAGGAAGGCACACGGAGCCCCTCCCCCACGAGAAGGGCTCCTTCTTCCGCGCCCCGACCGCACTCCTCCCGCAGGCGGGGCGTGCCCGACCTGGAGCCGAGGCGCCCCGAGGGGCCCCGAGATCCGGGCGCCGCGAGGTGCACTGCACACCGGGCGGTCTCGCCAGGCTCTCGAGGAGGGGATCGACTACAGCATCGATGTGCCCCGAAATCGATTTTTTCCCAACCAACCTGTGTTGTTGGGTCCTCGTTTTGAAGAGACGGTGGCCCGCGTCTCCTCTCCTCCCCTCCTCCTCCCCTCCTCCTCCCCTCCTCCTCCCCCCTCCTCCTCCCCTCCTCCTCCCCGCCTCCTCCTCCCTTGAAGAGACGGTGGCCCGCGTCTCCTCTCCTCCCACTACAGAATCGATGTGCCCCGAAATCGATCTTTTTTCTCCACCAGACGAGACACCAACGTGACGCCTCCGCCTGCGAGCGCTGCACACCACTGCAGCCACACTGCGACACGCAGCGTAAGACGGAGGGGCGGATGGAGGGCGTCGGGATTGCTCGACACCGCGTGCTGCTCCGAGATGCTGTACCCCGAAATCGATTGTCTCGCCGAGTCCACGAAAATGCGTAGAGTGTTCGCAGATCTACGTCGCAGTCTACGCAGTCGTTCGTGGGCTCGACGGGAAGATCAAGACTGGGGCAAATCCATGCTGTAATCGATCCCCTACTCTCAAGGCTTTGGCGGGGGCTGGACGGAACCCCCTGTGGCAAAACGCCCTTCAGTGAAAGCTGCCAGGGGCACTCCACGTGCGCACGGCACGGCGTTCTGAGTGCACCCCAGCGGGGTAGCTAATTGGCATCCACAGACAACCGAATGTATCCAGCGAGACACACGTCGATTGGCGAAACAGGCTGGGGACTGCGCCAGCACATGCCGATGTCGAGTGAACCCGTGCAGATTTCCTCGGCCGACTTGTCTGGGTCATCCAGTCATTGCCCGTATCGGGCCCCGGGGCCATCACAGATCGATCCGACTCGAGGAATGCCGCGGAAAGATGGGATGTGGGGCTCCTGTCGAGAATGTTCGTGATGTTGCAGGTGTTTCGCATCGACGGATCTCAGAGGGGACCCGAGGCCGAGGTGCCAGGGCTATGACTCCGAGGATCCAGGAGCTCGATGACGATATGAGCGGTTCAATCCGGGCGTTGTGACCTCCATGTCGGCCTCTGGGGCCCCCTGTCGGGCCCCAGGGGCCATCAAACACAGGGCCGGGGCGAAGAACTGGACCCGGGTTCGGGGCTTCCGGGGGCCCCGCGTCGGATCTCTGGGACACAGAGCTGGTCTGCCCTGGGGCGCGGCGATCGATCTGCCCCGATGGGACGCAGAAGGACGTGCTGGTGCTATGCGCCCCCCTTGGAGGCACACCTCCGAACCGAACGTATAGCACAGTCATGGCATAGTCGGGTCGGGCATGCTCAAGATCGGTCCCCAGACCCCTCCCGGGTGTCCCTCCCAGCCGCCGTCCCTCGGCTGGTCCCGCACGAGGCACCTCCAGATCTCTGCGGCCCTCGGTGCGAGAGGAGGAGGAGGAGGAGGAGGAGGAGGAGGAGGAGGAGGAGGAGGAGGAGGAGGAGAAGGAGGGGGCGGAGGAGGACGGCAAATCTTTCTAACAACTATCGGTGTCCGGGGGCCCTCCCCAGGCCCCGTGGGGCTGTTTCAAGAGCCGGTCGGGACGAAAAACGGGTCCTCCTCCTGCTCCTCTCCTCCTCCTCCTCCTCCTCCTCCTCCTCCCCTCCTCCTCCTCCTCCTCCTCCTCCTCCTCCTCCTCCTCCTCCTCCTCCTCCTCCTCCTCCTCCTCCTCCTCCTCCTCCTCCTCCTCCTCCTCCTCCTACCCCTCCTCCTCCCCTCCTCCTCCTCCTCCTCCTCCCTCCTCCTCCTCCTCCTCCCTCCTCCTCCTCCTCCTCCTTCCTCCTCCTCCTCCTCCTCCTCCTCCTCCTCCTCCCTCCTCCTCCTCCTCCTCCTCCTCCTCATCTTCCTCCTCCTCCTCCTCCTCCTCCTCATCCTCCTTCCAGAGGTCTGGGCCCCTTGAGAAGGGCCCAGACCTCTGGGAGTCCACGCGGAAGGAAAGTCGCGACGGCGGAAGTCTGGGGGTCGCCGGGGAGCTCGCGGGGGGGGGGGGGGGGGGGCAAGGCGCGCGCACTCATTGGGCGCGCGCTTGCCCCGAGGAAGAGGGGGGACGCCCGCCGAGACGGGCGGCGGGACCGCCCTCGGTCCGTCGCGGGGGTCGGGTGCACCACGCGCGCGGGAGAGGAGCGAGCGGAGCCAGCAGGGGGCGAGGAGGAGGAGGCCCCCCGAGGCGAAGAAGCGTCCAAGAAGAAGTCACTGGGCGCTCCTTTGCCATCTTGGGGCCGTCGGCGAACGTCTCGGGACCATTGGAGCAGACCTGGAGACGTCTTGGGGTGTCTCATGGCCATCTGGAGATGTCTCGTGGCGGTCCTTGGCTGGTCTTGTGCCGTCTTCGGCTGGTCATGTGCCGTTTGGGGAGAATCGTAGGCCGTCATGGGGCCCCCTGGGCGATCGGGACGGCCATCTTGACCCATCTGGGGTGGGGAAGCACAAACGGCGCAGAAACAAACGGAGGGCCTCTTCTTTTTGTCAGAGGCTGTCCCCTAGGAGCGCTGTCCGGTTCTGATCCAGGCCCTCTGGGGCCACGAGACCTCGCGGCGCGAGTCGCGTCGAGGAGCAATGGGGGCGCGCAGCGGGCTGCGAGAACGGGCGCGAAGGCTCGGTGCAGAGGAGGAGGGAAGAGAAAACCTGGCCACCAGCACGGGCGAGATTGAAGTCCATCACGGATGACAGGCCCTTCGGCCCTCAAGCTTCAGTCGCTACAGGCACGCCCGGCTGCCAGCAGCCACCATAATTCGGAGGCATTTGGCGCGTTGCCAGGGCGCTGGATGCCCGCTTGTGCTTTTTCCGATCGACGTTGCTACAACACTGCAGCTCCAGCGGGTAGGTCTGAAGCTCCTCGCTGTACCCTTCGTCTGGTAGAGAAACGTCTGGGCTCAAATGAGCAATGACGATGAGGCCTGAGATGGCGAGAATCGCCACGTAGATACCCAGTAAGAACAAGTAGCTGAACATGTACCCGAGGTGCAGCCTAAACACCATCGCAAGTACCATCCTAAACTCAATCCAAGACTGCGCTGCAATTCGCTGGCCCAACGAGCCGAAGGCGTGCTAGAATCTCTAGTAGGAGGGTCCCCAAAATGTGCGTGCCCTTAGGCGTGTTCACTATGTCGCTAAGGAATTAGATGGGTCTGGCGAGGATTTCGCCACATTGCCGCCCGTGGCCGCCTCGTGGCCGCCTCGTGCGCTGGGTGGGTCTGGCGAAGGTTCGCCACATTGCAGCCTCGGGGCCACGTGCGCTGGGTAAGCGCCTCGAATCACCACATAGCTCACTCCACATAGATTGCATAGCATAGGGCCAATACCACGTAGCTTACACAACATATATTACACAAAATAGCTCACATCAAATAACTCACACCGCATAATTGACACCTCATAGCTTACACAACAACTGTTCCACAATACGGCTGATACCATAACAGACAACAACACATAGCGAACACAAATAGCGCACACCACATAGTTTACACAACGTAGCTTGCTCCGCATAGATCCCACTGCAAAGTTTACACAATATAGCTTACACCACATCGCTTAGGCAATGTACGTTTTACCTCCGCAATGCAAGATCTCAATGTGTTGGGTCCTCGCTGGATGTGCGCGCGAGGAAGGCCATCAGAGATCTCCGGAAGATACCTACCCTGGCAAGGTCCTGGGAAGGTCCCGGCAAGTCCCCAGCAAGGTCCCGCCACGGATGCAGGAACTCCCCAGCGCGGATTTCAGGGCCCCCAGTGCAGCCCCAGGAGCGCTCCAACGGAGCTCGAAGGAGGTGCCCCAAAAAAGCTCCAAGACGGTCCAAGGCAACTTCAAAACAACCCAAGAATTCACAAAGACCCCAAAACCCGGATCCTTCGCGACCGACCAGATACGGGCACGCCAAACGAAATCAGCCGTTTCAAACGACCGCCGCCCCCCGAGCATGCACAACCGACCGAGACTGGGATCGACCACAAATACCGTTAGCGACCGCATCGGGCGCGCCAGACAAGAGCTGACGTTGGGGAACCACATCGGCGCCCGAAAAACTTGATCCTATACGTCATGTGTAGGTGCATGTTGATCGTTTTTTCTGTACAGCGCAAACTCTCACCATACTTCGCAAAAACTCTGCATGCTCCATACACTGTATGTTCGGATGTACTGACATACTGTACAATATATATATATATACATATACATAAGAAATATAGATACAAGAACGCGAGAACGAACTCAGTGCGCCCTTCAGTGGCAGCAACCCCCCCACACATCCCCACCCTCCCCTGGAACCAGAGCTCCCACACCCTCCTCCGAAAATCCCTCCCCTCCTTTCTTAACCTTAGGTCGGGCGTGTCTCCCTACAGGCGGATTCTGGATGAAAAATAAAAGATACTCCAGAAATACTCGAAAGTAGCCAAAAATAGTCAAAAAAACGTCCACCCACTATGTTCAACTATTTTTGAATATTCTTCCTGTAGAGGGACAGGCCCGAGTTAATCTTAACTCCTGCCCACCACCTCCCCACCCCGGAGGGACGGGGGAGGTCGGACGCCCTCGCACGAAAGCCAAAAGGGGGGATCGGACACCCCCCCCCGCCTCGGGGGACTCGCCACGGGAGGCGCCACGGAACGTGCCAGGGAACGGGCCAGGCGACGCGCCAGGAAACGTGCCAGGGAACGCGCCGGGGAACGTGCGGCGGGACGTCCCTGACCCAGGGCCGCGTTCCCTCGTAAATTACACTGCGTCCGCGCTCCCAGGGCCGCGCTCAACTCCAAGTGACGCTGCGTCCGCGCTCCCAGGGCCACGATCCGTCCTAAATTACGCTGCGTCCGCGCTTCCAGGGCAACGATCCCGGGGAAGTGATGCTGCTGCTGCTCTCCCTGGGCCAAGATCCCTCTTAGGCTGCCCTGCGTCCGCGCTCCCAGGGCCACGATCCATCGTAGAGTACACTGCGTCCGCGCTCCCAGGGCCACGTTCCCTTGTGAATGCCGCCGCGTCCGCCCCCCCAAGGGCCAGGATCCCATGCAAATGATGTTGCGTCCGCGCTCCCAGGGCCACGATCCATTGTAAATTACGCTGCAACCGCTCTCCCTGGGCCACGATCCCAGGCAAACTAAGCTGCGTCCACGCTCCCAGGGCTACGATCCTTCGTAAATTAGCTGCGTGCTGCGTCCGCACTCCCAGGGCCCCCTGGGGCATCCTTGGGCGTCCAGGTTCCTGGACGTCTCCAAGACAAGCATTTCGCTCGAGACATCCTCAACACATTATGCAAAACAAGCGTCTCGGTTGAGACATCCGCAGCAAACGAAAATTCTGACTTTGCCCTGTGTTATCGATCGGTATTTCAAAAACCAGCGTTTCGCTCGGACATCCTCAAAATGTTAATTCGCCGGCCCTACGCGACCTCGTTATTTACAGCAAACAAATTTGCCGGCCCTACGCCCGTCGATTCCGGTGGTGAACTCCTAAAAGAGAACCCTGGGCTCACGCCCTTTCCGGGAATAAATCAATCCGACAAACACTTGATATCGCAGGCATCAGCGCTCGACAGGCGGCGGGGGGCCCAGTTGGACCAGCCACCAAGGAATTGGGAACCAAGGCGGAATCTTTCAACCCCTTCTGAAATGGCGCGCCGCTGGACCCAAGAAACATTATGCTACACCTGCCCCCCCGCGATGTACAGGTCGCAGCCTGCAAGGGCGGCTTGCGCCTTAAACCAAGGCATCTCGGAACTCAGAGTTGCGAGGGTGTCGCAGGCAGAAGTGGCCTCACCACTTCGGCTGAAGGCACTTCGAAACCCGGAGCTGCGAGGATGTCTCGAGCGAAAGTGGCGGGACCACCATGGGGCAGGGTATCTGCGAGGTCAGGGCTGCAAGGACCTCTCACGCGAAAGTGGTCTGACCAACTCAGCTCAGGGAACATTTGGGAGTTGGAGTTGGGAGGATGTCTCAGACGAAAGTAGCCGGACCACCATGGGGCAGGGCATATCCGAGGTCAGAGCTGCGAGGATGCCTGAGGCGAAAGTGGCATAGTTGCCTGAGCACAAGGCATCTCGGAACATTGAATTGCGAGGACCCCCTATGAGGCTATGAGGCTGCGCCGACGGGTAACTTACAAGAACAACCCGTTCGCAACAGCACGGTGAGATGGCTCCGGGATGGGCCCCAAAAGAACCCCAAGGGAACCTCGGAGCATGAGCATGAAGCCGACGTCAGGTCCAGAAGGTGTTTGCCCAAGCAGGCAAAGGGGCTGGTTTTAGTATGAATTTGAATTGACACCCTGAGGTGCTGACAGCATTGGCTGAAAGTAGAAACCCTTGTCTGCATTGAGCATGATCGACATACGATCCCGGAAAGGAATATAGAAATGTAAGGCAAGGCAACGTTTCAAAGACACTTGATTGGGCGACGGCCAAATGCAATGCTGATTGTATCGATCTTGACGTACCGTGCCGAGGGCTGCGCTGTGCTGCGCCGTGCTGAATTGCGATGTGCCATGCCGCCATTGTGCTCTATATAGCGTTGTGGATCGAGTCCTCCCTGGCATCCGAGTCCTGACCGAACTGATCTGGATCTTAAGCTCGAGCTGCCTAAGCAGGTGGTAGCTGCCCCAGAACTAATCGACAGAGGGGACATGCCAGGAGGACGCGCCGCGGAACGTCCCAAGGGACGCGCCAGGCGACGTGCCAGGGCATGTGCCATGGGGACGCACCGCGGGACGTGCCAAGGGGACGCGCTACGGAACGTGCCAGTGGACGTGCCACGGGACGTGCCAGGGGACGCGCTGCGCGATGTGCCAGGGGGACTCGCCACGGAACGCGCCACAGAACGAGCCAGGGAACGTGCCAGGTTGCAATGCTAAGTGTGTGTATCGGTCTTGATGTACCATGCCGAGGGCTGCGCTGTACTGCGCCGTGCTGAACTGCGATGTGCCATGCCGCGATTGTGCTCTGTAGCTAGAGGGCAGAAACTCCACCCCGATAATAACCACCCCGACACGCGAAGCCGTTCAGTGAAAGCACCCAAAACATGACCGACCCACGAACCCGGAAAGGAATATAGAAGTGTAAGGCAAGGCAACGGTTCAAAGACACCTGATTGGGCGACGGCCAAATGCAATGCTGAGTGTATCGATCTTGATGTACTGTGCCGACGGCTGTGCTGCGCTGGGCAGTGCTGAACTGCGATGTGCCATGCCGCCATTGTGCTCTATGTAGCGTTGTGGATCGAGTCCTCCCTGGCATCCGAGTCCTCACCGAACTGATCTGGATCGTAAGCTCGAGCTGCCTGAGCAGATGGTAGCTGCCCCAGAACTAATCGACAGAGGGGACGTGCCAGGACGACGCGCCGCGGAACGTCCCAAGGGACGCGCCAAGCGACTTGCCAGGTGACGTGCCATGGGCACGCACCGCGGGACGTGCCAAGGGGACGCGCTACGGAACGTGCCAGTGGACGTGCCACGGGACGTGCCAGGGGAAGCGCCGCGCGACGTGCCAGGGGGACTCGCCACGGAACACGCCAAGGAACGTGCCAAGGTGCGATGTTGAGTGTATCGATCTTGATGTACCGTGCCGACGGCTGTGCTGTGCAGGGCAGTGCTGAACTGCGATGTGCCATGCCGCGATTGTGCTCTATATAGCGTTGTGGATCGAGTCCTCCCTGGCATCCGAGTCCTCACCGAACTGATCTGGATCTTAAGCTCGAGCTGCCTGAGCAGATGGTAGCTGCCCCAGAACTAATCGACAGAGGGGACATGCCAGGAGGACGCGCCGCGGAACGTCCCAAGGGACGCGCCAGGCGACGTGCCAGGTGACGTGCCATGGGCACGCACCGCGGGACGTGCCAAAGGGACGCGCTACGGAACCAATGGACGTGCACCGCGCGACGTGCCAGGGGGACTCGCCACGGGACGCTCCGCGGAACGTTCCAGGCAACATGCCAGGCTGCGATGCTAAGGATATCGATACTAATGTACCGTGCCGAGTGCTGTGCTGTGCCTGGGCGACCTGGACACGTGAAAACACGCGTTTCGCTCA